CTGTCTCGACTGCAATTTTGTTGTTGCTGTCCCCTGTGGGCAGGGGCGTTGTCATATAGTAGGAGGACCCCATTACGGAGTTTTCTACGCTTTTTTCTCACAAATTCAGACTGTAATTTTATCAGCAAACCCGAGCAGAAGTCTTCTGTTACTGGTTTTTTTCATTTTCCAGGTTGTCAGTCGTGATGATACCTTCACAATCCCAGAAACACGACAGCATGACCTTTCCACTTGATGGTGTTACCTTTTCCTTATTTGGTGAGGAAGAAGAAGGGGTTTTACATTGCATGGAGGACATTTTTTTGTTCTGGATCAAAATGATAGGTCCATCTTTCAATAGTTTCATCCATAGTCACCATGTTTTTAAAGAAATTTGTGTCATTGGACTGAATTCAAAGGAGAGTTTTGCAGGACTCAACCTTCTGCCTCTTTTGCTCACTTGTCAAAAGGGTATCCACCACGCAGAAACCTTATTCATGTTCAGATGATCATGGAGAATCGTTTCAATTGACCCTACACTGATTCTCGTCTCACTTGAGAGCTGTTTAACAGTTATACATCGGTCTTGTAGAATCAGTTTCTTCACTATGGATACATTCTCTTCAGTAACCACAAAGGATGGGTGCCCTTCACAATCTTCGTCCATCACCGAAATGAATCCAGATTTGTATTTTCTTATCCAATATGTCACAGTATTATAAAGAGGACATTTGTTACCATAAACTTGGACCATTTCCTGAAAAATGTCTGAAGGGGATTTTCCTTGCAAGTGTAAAAACTTGATAACTGAGCGATATTCAACAGGCTCCATGGCACAGCTTCAGCAAAGAAAAGCAATTGTTTTTGTGTATAATTTCATTTAACTCGCAGACTAGTGCCATATTATTGTCAGTTTTTCATAGAAAATTTGCATGAAGTGTTACAAAGAAATTGTGTAAAGGCTGACAAAATTTCATTACTCTACCACAATTCCTTCATACCCAAAGACTTATCAAACCCCCCTCGTACAAGAACAAATCCCATCAAAATTTGAAGCCACGCGTCTTAATGTTCCCATGTCGCAAGTTCACGTTTATGAAAGGCTGCATGCTACAGTAAAAGAGCAACAAAGGGAAGGATACTAATGCTTAACCATTAAGGACCAGATCCTTATTGTCCAGCATTGAAAGATCTTCTTTGAACAAATATGTACATTAATACAATGCGTACTTTCTCTCTCTCTCTCTTTCCCCCCTCTCTCTCTCTCTCTCCCTCTCTCTCTCTCTCTTCTCCTCTGTCCCTTTCCCCCATGGAACACATACATGTATATTTATGCACAACACCACTCACACTCAAGCACTTACTTGAAACATTTACAAAGACAATCTGCTACAAATATAACCCTTTTTATTAGCCAATGTGTAAATAAAATTAACATTCTGCTTAAGAAGTAAATTCAAAGCTGATTCTGAAAAAAGGAAAGTTAAGTAAAATCTTACAAGATATACAGAAACTCTCGCAATTCTTTGTCTAGGATAAGATACAGGAAGGCATCAATGTAATAACATTAGTCATTTTGGGTGAAAAATGGGTAAGTCACCAAAGTGATATTCAGGATTGATTAGGAAAATATGAATACTTTCAGAATGAAATCATGAAAATTATCATCTGTACATGCTGAATGAAAAATCTCAGTTGGGTTTCTCAGAGTGTAAAATTCGCTAAAGTAAGCTCAGATTTATATATTTTAGTTTTACACCAAACCCCGATCTCCAGTAATAGCCTACTGTGTGGAGACATTAACCGGCCCTGCAAACAACCTAGTGTATCTAGATTCAGACTCAAGTTGTCTGCTTTCCAAATGCATTAACCCACACCATATAATGGTCGTTGGTCATTGTACAGACTTAACACCCTTTTTAACTCTCAAAGTTTATTTTTGAGGATATGCCTTCGAATTAATTTTCATCTCTGATAGGACCCCAGCTAAATGGGTTGAGTTCCTTAGAATCTCCCCAAGACAAACCAAGTTCAACAAAGCTCATTGTGGATTCAAACCAGGGCCACCCACGCAAAAAACCAGCATGATACCAACTGAGCTATCAGCATGCTCCACTGTATAATGGATTAGGGCACAGTTAAAAGCAAATTTTGCTTCGGTCAAATTCTACTTAAAGCACATAAAACTTGGGTACGTGTGTGAACATTAAAAAAATATGGCCTTTTTACCTCTGTATAAAGAAAACAATGGAGAATAAGACTTGAATCAAAAGACTTACATATATATATACATGGATGACCCTCTTTCTACACAAGGTCAAAATTATTTTTTATGTTTGTGGCCAAAAAATATTTTGGTACGCATGATGTATAGAAATAATGTCAACAGTGTTTAACCAATTACTGATGAGAGTACTCTGCTCAACCTTTCATAAATGGGGACCTATGTTTGAATGTTCAATTTTGCAAGGTTGTTTAGCAAAGGGGTGTAAGACTTAAAATAACAACCAGGCTGACTGAACAGTTTTCTGCAGCAAAACCAGTGTTGTGGGATCACAAACACTGTTTTAAAGGTTAGTTTTTCTTTGTTCTGAGTTAAAAATACCCCATTTCTGTTACTAAGTGCATAAAAACGTCTTTTTCATGTAGGGGCTCACACTGTAAGATCCCAGAAGCTTATTTTTTGTTATAAAAGATCATTTATTTTAAAATGTTATATAGTAAAAAGTGTACGGCACTTGCAACACAATTAGGTCATATACAAGAACTGAAGATTAGAGGTGTTACAAGAGAGTAACAAAAGTAAAAAAGAAGAAGAGGTAAGTACGATAGATGTTTGACATAAAAAAAGAAGCAAACCACACCAGAGCACCTGCCAACCACCCATAATGGATTATTGGTTGACAGATCAAAATGAAAGATGATGGAAGAGAAGACAATTAGAATAAAGACATAAGGCACCATATCCCTTCATCAGAGAGATTGTGCTGTGCAAGTAGCACTTCACCAATGGGACAGCTGTCCTTTCTGGGAGTTTTACAGCGGAAAACAGCAGATTATTTACATTAACTTGAGTACAAAAAAATATATTCACTTATCATTCTTGGGACTCTTTAAAGGAGCAGACATAAAAAGGAGGCTTGAGAGAAGAAAAGCTGTTATTCAGGGATTTGCCTGAATCTGTCCTTAACAGTGTCTTGGTAAGCCTGTGATTTTTGTGTAACAATGCTTTCAACAAAGTTTGGTCATTTAAGCGCCATGACAGGAATTGAATTCTCAACATTGTTTGTGACTTACAATGACTAAAATCGAACAAACTTTTAAAGATATGCAGTAAATGTTAAAGCATTTTTCAGTTTAAAAACCGTAAGTACATGATATGAGGGAATCATTGTCTTTTTCTCCACGTTATCACCATATACACACACATATGTATATATTTATACCCTGATGACATTGACTTGGCAATAAATGAAACATTTGAAAGACATATATCTGTTTAATACCTTAGATATGAACAAAAAATAATTATGGGTGTTGCTTGAGCACAACTATGCCACAGACATTGGAGTTGTATAGACTTACTGCACTTGAGATTAACACTTTTCCCCCATGGGATGCCTATCAGCAACAGTAAGCAGCTGTCTCTTTCCCACATGGAACACCAATCAGCGACAGTGTAATATAGCAACAACAAAAAATTTTTAAGTCGTAGGAATGATCTTGTTTCAGACATAAGCACTTATTGTTTACGTTGGAACTTCCTTCTAGAATGATTTGTATGGCCTTTATGCGGGGAAATCAGTTTTGATTACAACAACTACAGTGAAATTTCTTTTTAAATGTCAAGTAGACGTAACATAAGGGCCAAAGATACAGGCACAGCATAGATGTTCCCAATCTGCTTCCTGATACATAGGGACAAATCCAAGGTTTTGCACTCTGTGTGGGGGAAAGTGTTAAATCCACTTTTTACTCTTTAGTTCTGGAACCATCAGATAGGTAAACACAATGAAAAAATTACAACACATGTATAGTCAAAAGAATATGAATTATATACTGGAGTTAAGAATACTCTTAGGTGGCCAACAGATATACTCCATTCCCAAGAGATTAGATGTATGTTTAAGAGTAAGGTCTAGGCTTTGGCCAACAGTACATCAGAACTGGACCCATAGCAATAAGAGAGGTGTATTTCCACTTTTGACAGTTTCAAGAAAAGTAGGAGTTAAAAATTCCACTTTCACAAAATTAGAATTAAGAATTAGAATTTCGGTTTCAATTTGGAGAAAATCCTTCAAAACAGTCACTTTAAGACTGGATCTTTGCTAAACCAAGAGATGAAAAGGAGACAGAGCTTTATTCCATAATGTGAAAAATCAAATCTGACCTCAAGTGAAGAGAGACCACTCTAATTCTCAAGGGTAAAACTGACCTATGAAATTCATTACAACATGACAAGAACAAAAATAGTAATACTGGACTTGTACACAAAGCATTGCGTTTTCCTCAATATTCTCACTCAAACACAAGGTCTGATCTCCATTTTTATGTGAATTGGAGAAGAACATGATTATAATTACCATTAACCCTCGTCCTGCAGGAGCCGGGTTTATGTCGCCCGATAAGCCTATTTTGGCACCTCGCCTACGTTCTGGTCCCGAATCAGTGTAGCCCCTGGCTCAGCGCACGCACAGCACGCATCATCTTACGTGTCATTCGGGTCTCGAGTCGGATCCCCATTCACGCAGGTCAAGTGTAATTAATTATATAATGGTATCATTATTATCATGATTAATTTTGAGACAACAATATGCTACTGATAGAGACTGAACTTGACAAAATCATAAAGAACTTCTTGAAGGCCATGAATCTTTTAAGCACAGAGTGTAGTGTAAACATTTTGTGCCTTTACTGAGCATCAAGACTCAACTTTGAGCATGATATCAAAATAAAAAGCTGCTCACTTCAACAATTGTTTATGAAATCTGTCAGTTTGCAGAAGAAAAACAATCACTCTTTCATATGTTTCAGCAATAGTTTATCTTAAGACAAAAAAACGTACCAGTATCAAAGGCAGTGAAAAAGTATTGAAATCAATGCCCTCATATAAAAACAATAACAATCGTCACAGATCATTCTCATGAAGTTCAAGGAAACAGCTGCCGATTTGCAAAATGAACCAAAAACTCCAAGTTACAGTTTCAGCAAAGACAAAAGTGAGCGTGCAAGCTCGAAACAGTTTTTATACACCTGGATTATTGATTGTGAAAGACTCTTATACATATATATATATCTTTCATCATCAGGGTTAAAGCATCAATAAAACTGATCAAATTACAAATCATAAAACAATTCTTGAGAATCACAATCAGTTTCGAAATACTAGCAAAGTGTCAGAGAAAAACAAAAGAGTAGTCAAGAAAGCTTATGAGCATGCACCATGTAGAAAAAAATAAAAATTTTAGGGGCAAATATAGATATTTAAATATTGAATTTTACAATTTAAAAAATCAAGGTGATTATTCAATCAAAAAGATCCTCCATACAACAAAGTTCTATAACATGTCGTAGTGTCTACCTGCAAAGTTTCATTTCATTTGGTTCAATAACAAAAAAGGTTCAGGCAAAATACTAACATTTTACACTATACATTCCATTTTGAAAATTGTGAATTTGACTTTTTTTAAACGCACATGGCATTAAATAAGATGATCTTTTTCATTCTCAATATTCAATATTATAAATGTCAATAAAAAGCTACCAACTTTGAATCAATAAGACTCATCTGTTTTCGGAAACTTCTGCAGCATTTTAGCAGTCGGAATAAACATATAAAGGGGAGGTGGCGGCAAGAAGAGACTTGCAGGAAGACTGATATGATAGCCAAGGAAAAGAAAGGCAAGAGGACGAAGAGGAAAAAGCAAGACAAAAGAAAAGCCATGAGAGCAGGTACAACAGACGAAACAACATCTCTCCACCAGGATCTGTGAATTATGGATTTCTAATTTCTTCCAACAAGCACAAATCAACGTTAACTCTAAACACTTTTTCAAAACTTTACTGTGCTTTCTTCTTTGCTGGGTCCTGGAAGCAAATGAGGGCAATGCTGTTTTCTGAACGCTTTGAAGTGTACCTGCAAAATTAAAACATAATTCACGCATTGAATTTTTCAAAAAAAGATACGAACAACATACCTCAGCACAAGGAATGTTTGTCAAAGAGAGGGAGACGTCTCCCTGAGTTAAATTTTCAATGAAATTACCTGTGCCTTTATTAAGTATGTGGATTATCTCCCTCCCACTCTCCCTCCTTCCCCCCCCCCTCTCTCTCTCTCTCTCTCTCTCTCTCTCTCTCTCTCTCTCTCCCCCCCCCCCTCTCTCTCTCTCTCTCTCCCCGTCTCTCTCAATTTCTAGACGCAGTTATGACAGCAATGCCTTCTAACAAGCATAAAGAATGCCCACTACAGAATTACACAGCAACTGAAGTGAACCCACAATCATCACCTTTTGGAACTGGGCTTGAGGGGAAATGCTCATGTACTCTCAGATCAATATTAACAATAATAAGAACAACAGGCAGCCAAAATCTTTTAAATATCTGCTTATGTAGCCTTCAGCTCAGGAATTGAAAAATAAAAGGAGAATTCAAAATTTAACCAAAATAAGCAAACACCTATTATTTTATACCTCCACTCACACAAAATTCTCAGCCAGCAGAACAAAAAAATCATTTAAGTTAACAAATACATTGCAAATAATTCAGAGTAATAAAGACTAGCAAACATGTAAATTCACATATGATACATTTGAACTTTCAAATGGACCTTTATTCTGACTTATTTTTATTCTTAAACTGATGAACCGTGGAATGTTTTACAACTAAGAACATGAAACCAACATTGACATAATATATAACCATCAAGCAAACAGCCCTGATATTTACAACCCAAAAACAAAAAGTCACTCACGTTTGCCCAGCTCTTATAAGCATCGTATCATTCTCTTTCAGTGTGTACAGAGCATCTCCCACAGTGACGGATGACTCTCCTTCCTATTAAAAAGAAAAACAAATCCTTTCATAATTCCAAACAGAAGAGGTTCAGTTCAGCCAGAAGCAGAAAGGCTTTCGATTCTATCCCTGCTTAGTCGAGTCAAAGGAAAAGGCACTGACAAACTGAGTCCACCAATATCAGTAAGAGTTTACCAGATTGAGGAAAGGTAGGGGGTCAGGCATTCGAGTATAAAGAAGCACATCAACCTGATAACCGTCATTTAGTGCTCAGAAAAAACAAATCTGACAAGAAGGATGAGAAGGACCTTCTAGTGACACCTGTAGTGTTCTTTGTAAAGCCCTCGACCAGACTGTAGTCTGCTCTAGATCCATGCAACACAACAGTAAAATTGGTCGTTTATAAGCACAAGAAGGCTATCCCGAAAAATGTTGTTTTGAGAAAACGGAAAGTACAAATTTTCCCCTAGTTTAGTTTCTTTAAAAGACAAGGAGAGTTATCGCAAAAACCAAACAAATATACACACCAATGAAAACAAACTTCTCCTATAGGTGGGGCAATGCCCACTTTTGGTGTAGGTCAAGATTTCTGGAAGCAACCGAAATCTGGGTTAGCCCACTTGTCTTTAAAAGTGACTAATTCAGTTTTCACATAACCAAGCTGGCTCTATGGTGATAGCAGCCATATCCGTTGTCGTCCTTGAAATAGGCTACATGTAAGGGGTGATTAAAACAGAATGAACCTATTTCATTACGCTATATAATTTAAATACAGAAAAGCAATAGAAAACTCAAGCCAAGTGCCAAGAATTGTACTCACAATCAACTTTTATTTCCTGTCTTACAAGTGTTCAATGGGCTACCACCAGCAACATGGGCAATATCAATGCAAAAAGAGAATTCATCCCAGGAGCATTGCCTCATATCATGACCCACTGAGTTGACCACTGTTGTTATCCGATGTTATAGGTCATCTAGATAAGTGGGTGGTGGTGGAACATGAACGTTCATATTCCCACTAGAAAAAAATCACACTCTGGGAGGTTTGGGGATCTTTCCGACCAATTCATCAATGTGGCTCAGCTATTCAAAATTTAGATAACTCCTCTTTCAAATGATCACTGACTCATTTCATCATAACAAAGTTTGAGAACTGAAGCAATGCATCATAAAATCGGTTCACTCTTTTTTAATCACCCTGTGCAAAAATTAATATTGTCTTGTAAGTAAACATCTTGTTACATCACAACACTCTCCAACCACCCACTGGAACAGATAAAGGCTATAATAACACTGTAAAAGAAGTAGAATGACCAAAGCAAAATCAAGGGTTCTGACATATAAAGGAAATATATCAATTAATAGTAATAATAATTTTGGCATTTATATAGCGCACATCTACTCTCTATAGCATGTTCTGTGTGCTTTACAACCATTAATACCCTAGCAGACCCTAGAACACTCAGAAACATTCTCGGCATCTTGGGAAGCATACAGTGCAAGTTGAGGACTGCACGCGCTCAAACACTAACAAACTGACAAAATCTCTCGCTGTCTATAGCCAGGTACCCGTTCCAACCTGGGTGAAATGAGGAAAATTTGTGTAAAGTACCTTTCCCAAGGACAGGATTCGAACCCATAACCTTACCGTTGTTGAGTCCAAGAGCCTAACAGCAAGACCACCCACCCCATATCAACCACAATTGAGAGATATAGAAATAAATTAATCCATCATAAAGAAATATAATAGTTCCTATCATTTAATTATGATAACACCTACAATCCACAATAAATAAATAACAGATTAGGTAGGACTACGACTACATCAACCTTTAAAAAGGTAGGAAAAGCAGACCACAATTTAACAACCAGAACACACACTAAAAAAAGCAACCAATACAAAATCACAAAAATACAGACAGCATAAAAAAAGAACAGTAGTTTTTTTCTCTCCACATATCCATGCACAACATATTCACAAACACATACACATACCCATATTCCCATATACACACAAATTTACACTGCATGCACGCACTCACACACACTCACACACACACACACTCACACACACACACACACCCATAGTCCCATATACATACACACCCATACTACCCTAATAATACACATACATACCCATACTCCCATATACAGACACAAATGAAGGAATGTGCACATATACACACACATGCACACACTCACTTAGATACACACACACACTTAGATACAAACACATACACAAACCCACCCACATACTATGATCACATAACTACACAAACAAAACAAAAAATAACTCACAATCTGCCAAATCCAGGTCTCAGCATGCTCACACTGGTCTGTATTTTCACCTTGGCCGTACACCCTCACCTGAAATTCCACAATACTCTTTTATCAAAAGAAGTGTGCTAGAAACTTATCAAACAGTCTGGCAATGCAGACTTTGTGCTAACTAAATACAGTTGAAAGTGTCCAAGATGGCCACCCATTGTCAAGGAGAAAACTGTTGGTTTTTTTTTCAAACAGCTGGATGTCCTGGAAGTGTCATTATAATGTAGAACAGTACAGTCAAACTTAGTTATACTGCCACCCTTGGGACAGGCATGAAGTTGTCGGAACAGCACTGCTGGTGATTCAGTGCGGTTCCTTTGTAGTACAGCCCCGACTGCCCACCGTCAAGGAACATGATTCTGCTGTGCAATCTGTGTTTATGAACTGTCTTTTAGTGGGTGATATACATATATATGCACATGTATTCAGAGCCGAGTCATGTCTCACTATTTCTATGTCTGCACATGTATTCAGACCCGTAAGTCATCTCTCTCCCTTTTTCTATGTCTATCTCACGGGAAAAAGATTGTCAAGCAGCGAACTAGTGGGTGTTGTGTGCCATGTGCAGTCTGTACATCTGGTGGTCAGTTCACTGGTGGTATGGCGAGGTGAATTTGCATTAGTCAAATAAGAATCATACAACTCAGACAGTTGGCGGATGAGAATGGCAGTGTGAAGGCAAAAATGCTATGTTTATATAGAGGCGTTCCTTTTTGTACACTGGCAAAACCTGGCGGTAAGCGGGGCTGGCAGTTACAACAAGGGGTGGTACAATGAGGTTTGACTGTACAAGGAGAAAAAGTAGGTAGTGGTTGTTTGAACAGGTGGTTGTTAGAGCCAGTTCGACTGTAATTTAAAGTGTCATACAGCAGAACTCATTTAACTAATAGATATAGTCACATCAAATTTACTTTTTTTTTGCCCTTTTCATAACTGACACTTGTATCAGACTGGACAACAAAAACCAAGAGTTTATGGAAATCACTCTAATATATAGTAGCTTTAGAGCATGGTAAAATTTCCTGAGGTCAGAGGATTAACAAAAAAGATTAATAAAATTATTCATCACTTATAATAAAAAATAATGTCTATTACAGAACGAAGTACACTGTATTATTGTTCCCATCCAAAAATAAGAATAGTTTTCATTAAAAATCTGATTAATTAAACTTTACATTTAGTTTTTTCTTTTTTGTTGCTTTTGATACAGATTTATGACAATTGCAACACAATTAGCTTACACAAGTGCCAAACATTAGACTAGAGAGTAACATAGAAATAAAAGATAGTGGAGAGATACAGATGGTTTATTGTTCGACAGAAACGGAGGAGCAAACCACACCAGACTGCCCATCAACCAACCACTTGCACTTTACAGAAATGCAGAACAAGGTGTCCATAAATGGCAAAGTACTCTTTTCATACGATACACAGAAAACCTACTGCCTTAGTAGGACCACTTCCAGGCAGCCTTCATTGTCTTAGGAAACAAAAATCCATCAACTTTATCAGAACTATCGAAACGACCAAACAGAGAAAAATGGTTTCTTTGCCGCTAACTCAGGACAGTCTACAATTTGAAACTCAATGGGAGGGACAGATAGCACAAAAATGGAATGACTGGACATGTATCTGAGCTAACGGAACATTCTGTTAGTCATCCTTTGGAGAGATATAGAGGGCTATAACATGTGGCGTTTACTACTCATGTGAAGCTTGCTGAGCTTTAAAGGAAGAGAGAAAAAAACAAACAACCAAATTTCCAAGCATTAACACCAGTGAAAATACTTTTTTCTTTCAAGTCAAACCAAATGCAACTCAGGGGGTAAATAAGCTGAGAGACAGAAACAATAATAGACAGCATTTGTACGAGTATAGCACAAATTCCAGCTCAACAGCGAGCTGTGTGGCACTTTAAAATCTATATTATTACCCCAACAGACTTAATAACATTTTGAAAAAATCTCAACTTCCTGGAAAGCAAGCTGCCATTTTAAAGTGCTAAAATACAAAAATACTAACGAGATCGTTTGATGTCCATGGCTGGGTATGCATTCCCACCTTGGTGAAATAAGGAAAATTCGTGTAAAGTGCTTTTCCTAAGGACAACACGTCGGGCCTGAGGCTCCAACCCCTGAATCCACAAAGTCACCATTACGAGTCCAGTAGCCTAACTGACTAGACTTCCAATATCAAAAGGAAAACAACAGGGAATAGAACAGAAACAGACTTAAAGTGGCACCCTCCAACCACTCAGAGGGAACACAACTACATAAAACATTTTTTTTAAAAAGTTTTAGAAGCAATCACACACCCCATTAGCATTAACTGCAATTTGGCATCCATCAGTGAAAAATCAACAGAGCGAATGACAAGCAAAACACAGAGAACATTAGACAAAGACTTGCTAAAAGCTTTGTGGAAGACTGAGTTTATAGCAAGATGAAAGCCATGATAGCACGCATACACAATGAAGTCTGGAGTACACAAAGACTAAAAGCTACATTTACATTTAAAACAGACAAAGAGATACTGGCACATGTATAAATTTTGTTGCATTTGATAGAAATATATGATGAGTAAGGCTGTCTTTTTTTAGAAAGTTACCAGTCTCTGAAACTTACAGTATTTGTCTTTGAAGAAGAACATTGAGTTAGGAAAAGTTTGTTTGAGTAAAAGAAGAAGTACATTGTCACAATAATTCATTATCATTCCATAACGCATAAAATGTTAGCAGAGAGAACAGAGGAATGATAAAGAAGTAGGCTGTACACGTACTTGTAACACCCTACAGCCATCAGCACTTCAACAGGAGTGAGGAACAGTTTCATTAATATCAAAGAAAAAAATCACAGCTATCTATGAATCCCACTTCCCCAGTGGAGGTAAACATAAGCCAATGTCTCGACGTTTAGTCACGCGTGGCAGTCGCTACTGATAAGTCGCAAGGTGTGTATCCTTATGCACGACCACATCGCGTCAAATTTTCAGTCACGTGTGACAAAAGCGACGAAACTGTCTCCTTATGCAAGACGCAATGTTTAGCCGCGCGCGACTTTCTAAGCCGTTGCGCGACTAACATTACTGACAATTCATAGAAGAGAGAAAGTGGCATATTTTAATGTCAAGATGGACAAGGAAGTACAAGGTCCATCGGGTGGGAGTTCTACCAGCCGCTGATATTTCGTACATGGCCAATCCCGTGTAAGTCCTCCTCCTCCTCTTCTCCGCCTCTTACTCCTCCTGCTGTCCATTAAAAAACAAAACAACAAAATTAGATTCACAAAACTTGCATTGGGTCGAACTGAAGATGAACCCCCCACACACACACACATACACACACACAAACCACACCACACATGGTGTGTCAATGGGCACTCCTTGGCTAGGTATTTTGACTAATGGTGATGCTCTAAAACTGTCACACCCCTCGTCTGTCGTGAGCGACGAGGTCTTGATCGCTACATGGAAAGATGACAGGCGACAGTTGCGTGCGAATAGACGTCGCGTCATGTGTAAGGAGACCATTTCTTACGCGACATTGTGTAAAAGGAGATATGCTCTTAGACAACAGTTTACGCTTAGAAAATAAATCAGGCACTAAGAACGACAGGGTTAATCATGGGAACACCCTAAAGACACTGAGTTTTGAGTTTAAAGCCATAAGGACTACAGTGGCAAAGTGGTTCGTGAGTTCAGACTCACAAACAATGTCAAGCTAATGTCGGTGAAATAGACGGGGGGGGGTCACTTAAGTGTACCCTTGAGCAAGACTAAATTACCCTTACTCAAAAAAAAAATGGGTAGCTGCACAGTGGCAACCAGCAATGGAATGTTCTAAAATTGTCTGCATTGGTGTGATATTGTGTAGTTTGTTTTTTGGGGGATTTTATGGTTTGTTTTTGTAAGTATTTTACAACGCTTGCAACTGCATAAGGTCATATAAATGCACGAGATACAAGCATTTCCAGTTTTGGTAGAATTAATATTGCATTTTGCCTGGTTGGCCTACTCTTAGCAGGAAAGGTGAAAGGAGAACATTTTCTAAGGAAGAAATTTTTCTGCCACTGTCAGGATTCGAACCCAGGAGCTATTGAATGAAAGGCGAACACCGTACGAGATGAAAATACAGACCACGAGAGCCCCGTAATATGGTGTATTTGCTACTCTGTGTATGTATATTTGTGAACTTTGATATGTGTTTATGTATGTACGTTTACCATTGCAATCCAAAAAATTACCACGCTGATCAATAAAGTGTAATTGGCTTATTTACTTACTTTTATTTATTTGTGTAGAATTGTGGTACGTGACCAGTCATCCTAATAATGGCCAGTCCACTGAAAACTGATTAGAACTTAAGTGATACCTTAATAAATAGAAGAAGCAGACTACACCAAAGGAATAACCTATATGTGCCAAATGTACATAAAGATAATCACGATGTGTGTGTGTGTGTGTGTGTGTGTGTGTGTGTGTGTGTGTGTGTGCGGAGAAGGGAGGAAGACATCAGTAACTGCATTTACTTACCTGAAACTGATAAGTATCTCCAAACAGCTGAATGAAGCCTTTTTGATTGATTTCCGATCTGTTCCTTTCAATCCAAGAATGAAAATTGAAAGGATTTTGAAGGGAAATTTTATCATCTAGTACCACAGGAGGATTTTCTGGGATAGTACCTGAGGAGGAATTGCCTCATACTGTTAGATGAAGAAACTGATAACATAGAGATAATAGGATCAGCATGGCTTGGGTTGGTCTTGGTGAGCAAAAGGGAATAGGCAACTTTGTAAAGTTAGTTCATCACAGTAAGCCAAATATAAAGTACAGTCGAAATTTTCCAAGATGGCTGGCCACTCACTTTAAAGGACAAAAGTGTTTGCTTAGGACAGGTAGATGTCTTAGAAAGTGTTATTACAATTGAGAAAAAAACTCCAGGGGATAGCGGGAAGTGGCCATTTGTACAGGTGATTGTCTTGAACAGGTGGCTGTTACAACAGGTTTGACTGTATTTGACTTCATGAGAAGGATGTGACCGACAAAAACTAGACTGAAATTCGTCTTGGGGCCAGTTTCGGGTTAGATTATTTTATGGTGAGCACATATGAACATATAGCTATTTTTGTGGGATTTTACTCAACACAATTTGGCTCATTCTGCACAGCTAGTCTACAGATATTCAGTTGAAACCATAACAACCCCTTACCTTTCTTTAGGTTCTTAAATCTCTAAAAATTTCTAAATTCAGATCTTCTGGTAAGTGTAATACCGTGCTCGCAACTGCATAAGGTCATAATATGAGTGCGCAGGTCACATTAAACATTTTCAGTGGGTTGAAAATTTTGAATTTTGCCCGGATGGCAGCTGAAGCCTACTCTTATCGATTTTGGACCACCAAGGAGTCTTTAAAGTGCATAATTGCACATGAGACCTTTGAGATTTTTCAACCTTGTCCGAGAAGGCTAGGTGTAGATCTTTCCTACCATAAGATCAGGGGTGTGGCTGAAAGACAGCAGTAAGAAGGAGCCAAGGAGTTGCAGTATAAAAGCTGCAGAAAGAGTCAGAAGCCCAGAGGAGGTGGCAAAGGATGTGAGGTGAATGGGAGCAGAAAGTGGAGACGAAAGCAGACGACAGAACATTGCTAGAGAGAAAGAAAGAAGGTGAAAGGAAACAATTTTAGAGAAGAAAAATTTCTGTGGCTACCCGAATTCGAACCCCGGACTTATTGAATGAGAGTGAGAGACAAACACCTTAATCTCTATGCCACGAGAGCCCCTATTCACATCTTTAAAAAAAATTATCAGTGCTTGAGCCTGATGTGATACTTTGCAGCATATAATTAGGAGTTTCTACTTTTAAAAAATCATTTCAGGGTGTTATGGAATAAGTTTAAAAGATAACGTAGCAATATTCATTAACAGGCAAACTCAAAACTGCAAAACTGCTGATCAAAGGATGTACTCTTACGACTAAAGAGAACATATGTATTAAAAGAAGGGTGGAAAGACGGAGGTGATACAAGTATGGAAGAAATGATTTCTATGAGTATCATTTCACTATCAGAAGGGGGTACCTTCTATTAGTATGCACTGCATTACTTATTCCCCAAAACCTACTAGGGGACGGAGGGGTGTGCAAAAATCCTTATGATAACTGTAAGAGTGCATGCTCTCTTTTGCAGCCCTAACCAAAGCATGGACAAATGACTAATAATTATTCCCAGCAGGCATACAAAGTGCAATTCACAAGATTTCACTCAGAGAGAGACCTCCCAGCCAACAGTATATTTGTACCATTCTATTTTCATTACCTGGAATTGGTTTCCCAGTCTTGAACTGCTCTGAAGCAAAGTACCTAAACATGTCAAACAAAGAAACCATTTACTCCAAACTCAAAACACAGAAACCAATTACTACAGGAAAGAAAAAAAAGTGGTGACATCACAATTTCTTACTAACTGAAATTTAAGATCCAGGGACTTTATATTTCTTTCAAGCGTAGAATTCTTTGAATTTTTTAATTCTTCAGTAAAAATATCAACTTAGTGGTTATTTTAGAGGGGTTTCATCTTATCATGTTATTACTGTATTGCACAATGAGGATTTGAAAAAAAATGGGCTATGTTTCAACATCACCAGTTATTTCCCTGTGGTCTTCAATTATTCACAAAGGATTCCATTTGTCCAATAATTAAGTAGAATCAAAAGTACATGACAAGAGGATCATTCTATATCCATTGGCCAAATCAAAACACCAAAGTATTCACTTTTTATGTTATGACATGCCTTTTTATATATTAGGCCTACTCCCAGAATATCAAAAATTACAAAGAGTATCCTTTATTAGTGCTTGCAGTAGGTTAAAATAACTAGCAAGTGAAGAAGTTCTTCTTTGGTTGAATGAATGCTAACACTAACACACAATTGATAGTATAAACCAGACTAGTAGTAACCAAATACATGGAAACCATAAATATTTTTTACCATAGGCCTACTCTGTTCTCACAACCCATAACAACATATAAAAGATCCACAAGCAAACACAATTCATTTATTCATTGCAAAACATTTGGTTATAAAATATAATCTTCATTTTTCAGATTTAAAATTTCAGATTCTAATACTCAGTAAGGGTCTGAGGCAATCAAGTTTTAAACCATGGTTGTATAAATGCCTAATTACCTAAGGCAGTAATGCTGATCACTGATCAACGAAGTGGGCTAAACAAATTGTATAAAACTTAATGTGCGCACTAAAAATCTTTGTAACTCATAAAACATACACACCCAGCCATGCTGAGCTGAAACACGGGGTGAGAGCAAATGTGAGGTGTGCGGCCTAAATGAGTTACTTCTTGGATTTTAGCCTTATGGAAATTGATACATCAATTTTATAGGTGGAACTTGTATAATTTGTAAGTATGGAATAATAAGACATGGAAGACTTGAACAAAATAGCATCAATTGAAAATCTATAAATCTGACCCCATTGTCGATTTTCGGCCGATATCTCCATTCTTGGATTGCAAGAAGTAACTCGTTTTGTCAGTACGCCTCACAAATAGTTATAGCCAGCAGACTTAAATTTTTTCACCGACTTCTAGATGCAATTCGTCACCGAGTGTTATAAAAAAAAAATTGTACCTCTACAGGATCAGAAGGACAACGATCTGGTCTGCTATGAATTTGCTACATATAAAGTGTAATTTTAATCTGAAATACCTTTTTATGACTGGAGCCAACTGTGTGCCCAAATCAGTACAATGGAACCACTCTTCATACAGAGAATCTGTAGTAGGAACTCCATCCTTCTCTTGAAAGTACCTATAAGGGATGAACGATAAGAATAATTATATGTGAATTTCGTTCACGTGTTCATATACTTATGAAGAGGGACTTGTTTTTACCAATCTCATACAAAGCTCTCTAATAAAAAGTATCTCCTGAATGCGACCTTGTTTTTTAACCACAGATAATATAAAGTCAAAATGAGAGAGAGAGAGAGAGAGAGAGAGAGAGAGAGAGAGAGAGAGAGAGAGAGCGAGAGAGAGAGAGAAAGAGAGAGAGAAGAGAGAAGGAGAGACGAAGGGGGAGAGAGAGAGTGAGGGAGATAGAGAGAGAGAGAGAGAGAGAGAGAGAGAGAGAGAGAGAGACAGACAGACAGACAGAGACAGAGACAAAGAGAGAGAGACAGAGAGAAAGAGAGAAAAAGAGAAAGAAAGAGAAATAGAGAGAGAGAGAGAGAGAGAGAGAGAGAGAGAGAGAGAGAGAGAGAGAGAGAGAGAGAGAGAGAGGAGAGAGAGGGAAATAGAGAGGGGGGGGAGAGACATCTGTGAGTGGCTGTAAAACAGTTTTATTATCGTTGCTTCATCTCATTCCACACATTTCTTAATAAAATTAAACAAGATTAGAATGAAGAGGAGATCCTCTGGGTCCCACATAAGGAGTTATATTTCTATAAATAAGACAAAGTACTGCAGAAATATGACACAACATTCACACTCTGTAATACCTTTTTTAAATAGATTTGGTATTGTTACTGTAATTCAGTTTTGGGTTAGAGTGGTAATTATTTTCTTACAGATCTACAAAAATGGTAGAAGACGTACACCAGGTCAGAAAAATTAACAAGTAGAATCATAGCTTGTGAATAATATCAATCAACAGTGAGAAGTGTAAAACGTTTTTTAAAAAAACAAAAACAGTGTGCACTTTATCACATAACTCTTATCCTTAAGTTCATATATCTGATAAAACTAAACCTAGATAACAGTAGCAACAGACAAAGTAATACCTGAGGCCATCTTTTTCTGATTCTGCTCTTTCTCGCTCAATGACAAGACCAATAGTGTTCTCCTGTCGCTGGGGTGAATGAGCAACTCTCCCAGGAAGTAAAAATATCTGTAAACAGCAAACAGTAAACTACACTGCTTAGACAATGTGAAAGCCCTTCTGAAAGTAAACAAATATACGGTCAAAACTGTCTAAGATGGCTACCCATTGTTTACAAGAAAAGTGGCCGTCATGCACAGTGTTATATTATAAAGTTTGTTTTTTTTTAACGCAAGGGGAAAAAAATTGGGAGTGGCTCAGCACAGGTGATTGTCTTATATACAGGTAGTTGTTAGAGCAGTTTCGACTATATTCGCTATTTGCAGACATTTTGCACAATTCATATCCAATCTTCCTGAGCATAAACAGCTCAGCTTCTACTTCCAGAGAATAAAACCAAATCTTTCACCAACATGTCCTTTGGTTTAGTTTTAGTAAGAGGTTTACAGCACTTGCAACACAGTTATGTCTTATAAGTGCCGAAGATTAGAGATGCTACTACTAGAGAGTAACATACAAACAAAGGGAGAGATAAAGACAATATACCTTTGGTAGGAAAGAAAGAGAAACCACACCAGAGTACCCGCACATAACCCACTACCTGTCCTTGGTGTGATTACGCATCATCATCTGTTCCACTGCACAGCCCTGAATTATATCAGAGCTACGCTTTTCCCTCTAAGACCTAATATTGACAATACACTCTATGAAATATTACAGCAACTGCAGAAAACTTGCATTTATCACTACATGGCATTGGGCAGAAGAGAAAAAGCCCAATTGTTGCTGGATTGATAACAACAACAATCTAGTCTACATAAAAACACATGAAAACATCATACACCACAGTCCCAGCAGGAACAGTATCCACTAGGCAATTTTCCCTCCAAACCTAAACAATGAATAATATATTGCACAATATCAAAAGTCTGTATGAAACATTCTACACAGTTGAAAGTCAAGCAAATATAAAAACAAAAAATCTTTCTTCTTGCTGAACTGATGAGAAACATGATTTTGATATAAATATTCCATGACCCCACTGACATTATAACTATGATCATTAAAAAGTCCAGCTGCTCTGACCTAGCCCACTAGGGTCAATAGAAACTGTTTCCCTTCGAGAGAATAAAAATTATATCCATAGTGTGCAAGGCAAAGAGCTTAAAATTACATCATAGATTCCGGTTTCGTAATACAAATAAACAAATGTTAATGAATTTAATAAATGGCATTTACATAGTGCAAATTCCTACTTACCAGAAAGCTCTATGCATTTTACAATCTACAGTTGAACACGGCTATAACAGAACATTTTGTTCCAGAAGAAAAATCCGGCTGTAAGCGAGTTTTTGCTATAGGAATGCAAAGGGGGGAAATTACCGAAAAATTTCATTAAATATCACCATGAATACCTCCCTTCCATATCAATAAAATCTTCACTTTTGATCAGTCTTCCTTTTCTTGTCAACTTCGTTGATTATCTTCGCTTTTAATTTGAGTGAGAAGCATTTCCTTTCGTCCTTGTTGGAAGCCATCTTTTCCTCGGTTTCGTTGCTTCTGCTGTCTATAGTACCAAAAGGGCAACTGTAGAACTGGTGAAGTGGAGGCGTGCATATGCCTATGAGCATCAACGATCAAAATTCAATGAATCAGGAATCTCCTCTTCTTTTACCTTTTGGCCTAGCCTAGGCCTAGGGCTATGGCTTATACGCTCTCATGCAGAGCCTCTAAGCTACTGCACATCACTTTTGGAATGGCTCACGTATTTCGTCTCTCCGCACCAGCTCTCTCTGCCACCTGCCCCACCTCATTCCTCACTGGACTGGCCAATCACAACGCTGCACTGCTGACTGCCAGTTTGGAGCCCGCCCACAGCCCCCCCCCCCAATCCCCTTTCCCCCAGATAGAACTCGCTCGATCTCTCCCGCTGTATCCGAGTTCGGGCCTTTCCTTGCCCCGCTAAACCCGAGCACAGGTAATTGAGTATACATAGAGAAAAAAAGGGGGATTCCGGTAAGGTCCCGCTGTAGGCATGGTCCCGCTGTAGGCATGGTCCCGCTGTAGCGGTTGCCGCTGTAGTCGTGTTCTACTGTACAACGTTACCAAAGCACACCTGATAGTATTTTGAAACAATCTCAACTTTCTAAGAAGCGTACAATGCAAGCTGTATGGTGAAGTGCCATACTTGATGCCTTATAATGCAAATTGTTAGCGGTGCAGTTAAAATTTTAAACAAGAGCTATAAGAGTTCTATAAAATATAACCTCAGAGTTTGTAAACTCAAAACATATGTATGCTTTCAACCCTTTGCCAACCACAATTCCTATATATATATATATATAAATGTCCTTTGAGCATTTGTAATGGGAGGTCACAAAAAATACATGGCTATACGTTCTAGCAAAGAAATTAAGCATTAAAATGTTTTCAATATGCTTCAACAGTTTTCAATAATTTTTAGATTGAATTTACCTCTCCCTCCTTGATAGGAACATCTCTGTGTTTTCCATGTTCAATAACCTTCAGACACATGTCGCCCTTCACCATGTAGAAGAGCTGTAAATGATAAATTATGAGAAAAAAATGGAGCTGACATGACAAGCTTCAATTAAAATATTTTACATTACCATGAAAAAACAACTGAACCTGTCCAAAACAACCACTAATATTGCGGAGAACACCAGTCATCTTAGACAGGTGTGGACCTCTTATTTACGTAATTAATGTCTTAGAACAAACTCAAGGGGCAATGTGGGAAGTCTGGTCATTTGTACAGATGGTCGTCTTGGACAGGTGGCCATTAGAGTAAGTTCAATAAAATTATATTTTTCCAGTTGCTGCGATTGTTATTGAATTCCTTTAGCTTGAGTAAAAGTTTTACTGCACTTGCAACAAAATTAAGTCATATATAAGTGCAGAAGATTAGAGCAGTTACAAAAGTGAAACATTAAACACAAAAAAAGGAGGAGAGATTAGGATGATAGATTTTTTATAGGCAAGAGGGAACAAACCACACCAGAGCACGACCAACCACCCACTAGCTTCGTTGAATTCATTAGCATGACCATTGATTTATTTGATGACTGTTACTTCAATTTTCTCTAATAAAAGACTGCACCACTGAAAGTGAAAGCTCCTCTTTATTCACTAAACAAAATCCGGATCAACTTTTAGAGATACAAACGTGTCTCTAAAACTTCCATTTTCCTCTGTCTGTCTTTTGGTTTGTCTGCACTCCTCATCCATTCCACCTCCTCTCCCTCTCTCTGTAAATGGATAATGGGAAATCTTCCTTTCTTGAAAGCTTAACTTATTCTATGATGATGTGATTAATTATCAAAGAGTAGACTCACATTTACTAGAACTCAAGAACAACTGGGCACAAAACCAAAAATTCTATATGATCACAATCATATTGTCTTTGCCATTTTATATCTCAACCCTTTTTAAAATGCTTTCCTGAATTGGGGGGGGGGGGGATTTTTGTCGGGACCACATTATCCATTACCATACCTCTTCTCCTTCTTCAATGTGATAATCCTTCCGTTGATTAGGACCACCAACAAAGAACACTTTCATTTGCCCATCTTGATGCCTACAGAAAAAAAAAGAAGTTGAAAGAATAATTGAGGGGGGAGGGGGACGGGAAGCTTAGTGCTGGCTTAACTGTTTAAAGTGTAGCAATTATAAACAGCCTACGTGACAATACTTCAAAATCTCAATTAGCTAGGGGTTTGGGTTTTCTTTTTAGTTTAAGTTTGAGTTTTACAGCACTTGCAACACAATAAAAGTCATGCAAGTGCAAAAGATTAGATGAAGTACTGTATGTGTCACTAGAGAGTATATACAAAATTAAGGAAAAGGAAAAGATAAAAATGACGGATGCATGTTTGATTGGAAAGACGGGGCAAACCATACCAATACATCTGCCAACCACCCAAAAATTGTTTTAGTGCTTAGGGCTAATGTTTTACGGCATAAGCAGGTCAAAGAAAAATCCCCAAAAAAAACTTATGACAAATTACAACAAAGATATCTGAACAACTGATCAGATCCAATATCGAATTTATGGCCATCCTTTTTAAAAAGGAAAATATTGTATTCAGTTATTACGAACAAAAGTCTCAAAGAAAGAGAATAAAGAAAGGAGAGGGAATAGAGTTTGCTAAGTTCATATGGAAGAATACACTTACATCATTTTATTGCATACTGGTGGTAGAAAGTATTTTTCATTTTCTGAAATCCATTTCTCCCTGTTGTAGATAACTGGTGCCAAAGCCATATTGCATTGGGAAGTAGGCCTACTGCAAGAAACAAATAAAAAATGTAATATGTAGGGCCTATATATGGGTGGATAACATTGCACACTTATGGAATCCATTCTTCACCTCTTGACTTGCAGTACAGAAATACCTATAAAAGCCATTGATATAGGTAGTGTCTACATTCTCTAACGTTTCAAGAATGTACAAACTGTCTACATTCTGTAATGTTCAGTGCTTCCAAGCGTGGCATCGAATCCCCGTCCCGAAAGGTTGATTTTTTTTCATCTTCCTCCCGACTGACCAACAATTTGCCCCCGGACCTCCAACCAGGGCGAATAATAATTGGCAGGAGGAACAATTGGCAGGGGTCTTGGGGCCGCATGCAGGAAGCCCCCGGAGGCTGAAGAAAATTAGCAATTGAAGAGCTAAAACTTGGCTCTTTCACAAAGAAAATAATGAAACTCACAGACTAAGTATGCCACTTGACCAGGCCTAAATTGGTAAAAGGAAAAGAATACTTTGCAGGTAAAAGCTCCTCTTATAGTGACAAAACCAGAATGTGCATGCTTCATCATTACATAAAAAACTACAAAGCTACAATTAAAAATTATTATTATGGGAAAAAATGTTTGGTCAGTCGGGAGGAGGGGGAGGAGGAGAAGAAGAAAAGGGGAAAAAAAAACTTCCGCGAACCGGGATTTGTTCCCACGCTTATAAAATAGTTGCATGACCTCAACCGCAGACATGCTGTTCATTCGGCCATCTGAACCTCCAGCAAGAGGTAAATTTTAAGCTTTATATTTACAGCACTGTTTCAGGAAAGGCAACGCAACATAGATCAAGATGTAGGTTTTTTTACAACGAAGAAAGTGAGAAAGTCGGAAACATGGAGGAAGGGGGGGGGGTATCAATGAGGCGGCGGGCATCAAATCGGCAGATGAGGTCTGGAGGAAACTGAACAATGGCGAAAAATTGGAAGCACTGAACATTAGAGAATGTAGACAGCTTGTACACGTTCTCTTGTACGTTAGAGAACATTATAGACACTTCCATTGATAAAGTCAAAGTAACTAGGTCTAGGCCTAGATCTAGATCTAGATCTATAACTTTTCAAAATTAAAATAAATCTGCAGCAGTGAAAGCAGAAATAAGATATTGGGCTAGTCTATTTGCGTGCATAAATCTAAAAGGCTGGGAGCTCAGTATAATTGTGGGTTTTTGTTTGTTTGGTTGTTGTTTTTTGTTTGTTTGTTTGTTTTGTTTTTTTGACAAATAAACAGACATTTCATTTGGTTTTGAATTATTAGAGCAAGATTCGAGAAACCATGCTTAATCCAACTGCAATGGTCAAAATTACATGTCTTCTTTTTCAAATCATTACTAATCTAGTCTAGATCTAGAATCTAGATCTAGGGCCAAAAACTACTTACACGCTGCCTCTCGACTCTCAGCAGACTATCTAGATCTACGTTATAAATTTTAATAGAGTCTAGAATCTAGAGCTGTCTTATGTTTTATTGCATCACAAAAGGAAAATGGATCTTGTTTGACTGAAATAATAACATCAATAAAGTTACATATCTCGGTTGAAGCAATACATAGGCCTAATAACTGACAAATATATATATACAGATGTATGACCTTTTCACCCCTCAGAATTTCTGTAACACAAACACAGCCTCGCCACTCGTCAGTCGCGAGAATACTGCAGTGCCAGTCGTCTTCGTCTATCGCTCGACACTCAGCGCCCAGCCCAGTACAGGCAGGTTAACAGACTGTCAACACAGTCCGACCGTAAAATATCGTTTCAGTATTGATATCGATACTTGTAACGGCAAAGGTTGTACATTATTTGATTTCGGACGAAGAGAAAGAGGAGAAAGAGAAAAATTTAAGTCGTATTTTGTTCCTATCGGGTGGTCTTGAAGCGTTGCGCACTTAGATCTAGTCTACGTCTATCAATCAAGCAAAAGTCGAATCAAACTTTTGTTTGACCAGCTTTTCTAGGCCGTGCATCTGAGATCTTTTAAGTTTCAGTAAGATGAAAGATAGTGAATAACTAGTTATGTACTATCATTGGTAAGATCTCGAGTTTCATGGCGTATGGCATTTGCAACACAAATAAGTCACAATAATAGGACTTAAATGGCGAAGACTTTAGATACTATATATTGACATAATTATGCAAGAGAGGAGGATCAGAGATTAAGAAGATAGATTTTTTAAATTTTTTTTTTGGGGGGGGGGGGTTAAGATCCTTAATTTTTTTTTACAAGAAAGAAGTCTTGGCTAAATCACACAATAGGACACGGTAGCCACCAACCTTTCAGAGGCCTTGGCCATGGTATGTGAAAATAGGAAAGTAGACTCCCTAACATAGTTGGGCACATTTTTCGAACTCACATAAGTTGGGAGCATGAAACAATATACAATAAGCTTAAGCTTAAAACAAAAATAAATCATCACAATGTAGGCCCTACATTCTACAGACACTTTAGATGCTACGTCAAAGTTTTAAATCACGATCTGCTTGATCTTTGTCCATTAAACATCTTTCGAGGTAATCGAACATTGTTTTTGTTTTTTATCGACAAATGGAAAGGGGGAACATAAAAGCATTATGCAATAATATTGTTCTGAAGAAACAACAATGTCTTTCAGCTATGCTGATACACTCATGACACAACTGTGTGCTAACAAAATAATAGGCCTATATAATATAATACTTTGTGAATGAAATTGATGCTGAAAGAAAAGAAAAGAGCCGCGCATAATGTGGAAAAAAAAACGTAGGTCTATTGTGGTGTTCTCCAGAGATTTATCAAAGACGCATAGACAGGAGTAATGAGTCTGGTCCACGAGAGAGACAGTAAATGATGAGATTTATTTCGTGATGGGCTACATAACGTAATTAATTAAAAAAATAATTATCTTCTAAGATAAACAAGTACGACCGCAGGGGAGGCTACTCCAAAATTAAAAGTGTTCTTGATAAACTTCCGGGGCATGTTGATAAGTGACAACAGTCCAGTTCTGTGCATAGGAACCACATATTTCACATGCTCAGGTGAGAAAAGTTCTATTGAAGTGTGTATCGTCGATTTCGAGTTTTGTCATTTCGTAATCTTTTTTTTTCTGACTTTTTAAGACACAAAGTGAAACTCTTTGAAGTGTGACACGTCCTTCTGTAGTAGACAGATGTCTGGTTTCTTGGGCGTTGGCTGTGTGTGTGTGACGACAGTCAGTGGTGAAGCCCTTTTTATTATTGGCGATTGTGTAGATTTCCGCGTTTAATTCCGATACTACACGGGACATCTGACAAACTCTTTTATTCATATTTACAAGAATATATGTGGAAGCAACTATTTAAGGAAAACATTTTTGGCAATCTGTATTGCATTTCATTTTATTACTCTGTTTAACATTTTTGGCAATCTAACTATTCTATTATTGGATTTCATTTTTGGATTGAATTAATCTGTTTAATGGTAAGTTCTAGGGCTTATAGGCCGATTAAAACTAGTATAGGAATTTATCGCGGAAATCTGCACAATCGCCCCGTTTTTATCAATTCAAATTCTCGCCATCAGTTCACACCTCAGTGACTGCACTGAATCATTTCACAGCACTGATGCGTATCTTATGTCCCTATCTCAACATAGAGTTTCGTATGTATTTTGTGCGAATTTCCATTTCCCTTCAGCCTTCAGTAACATTAGATATCTACATTGAATTTGAAAGCAATGGGTGCCGAAACAACACATTATCATTATTATTAGGCCGTCGTTATTCGGACTCGAGTCCGAATAACATTTTTTCATATTTGGACTCGAGTCCGAATAAAAAAATTCTTATTCGGAGTCCGAATATGAAAAAATGTTATTCGGACTCGAGTCCGAATAACATTTTTTCATATTTGGACTCGAGTCCGAATAAAAAAATTCTTATTCGGAGTCCGAATATGAAAAAATGTTATTCGGACTCGAGTCCGAATAGTCACTTCGTTATTATTATCACTAGATCTAAGTCTAAGGGTGTGGCATAGCGGTTTCTGTCGGATTGAATTCTTGCCTTCACTTCACGCTTCACTAGATCTAACTATACTGAATCATTTCAAACTCTAGCCTATGTATAAACTATGTTCCAGTTTAATTCAGTAGAACGTATGACTAGATCTATAGCGGCATCTGCTGCAGCAGGACCATCCCTACAGCAGGACCTTATTTCTGGAATCCCCCTTTTTGATCTATGTAAACTCAATTACTTATGCTTGGGTTTAGCGGGGCAAGGAAAGTCCTGAACTTAGATACAGCGGGAGAGATCGAGCAAGCTCTAGCTGGGGGGGGGGGGCTGTAGGCGGGCTCCAATGCAGTCAGCGATGCAGCGCTGTGATTGGCCAGTTTAGTGATGAGTGAGGTGGGGCAGGCGGCAGAGAGAGATGGTTTCGGAGAGACGCGTTACGTGAGCCACTCCAAAAACGATGTGCCATAGGCCGAAAATAAAAAAAGAGGAGAGCATGTGTGTGTGATTCCTGATTCATTGATTTGCGATCGTTGATCTCAGCTGTTCCCGAGCGGAGCACTAAGTTACCTGTGGAATTGACCCGGTCAGCCATGCCTCACCTGGGGGGTCAGGGAGGTCACTTTGACCTTTACTCAACGAGTGAACTGTTGTGACTTTACAATTTTTATTCAGTTTGATATCGTCATCGGGGCTTTGCCCACAGACAAATCAAAGTCAAAATACTATAAACTGATAGAGGCAGTCTTGAACTGTACAGCAAATAACTTTTTATTGACATTCATAGCTCGGCACCCTTTAAAACATGGCGCTATTGAGGGCACCTTTGAGGGAAATTTTTACATAGGTCTACTTTTTAAAATTACGATATTTTAAAATGTGAACCCCAGATCTATAAAACAATCAATGGTATACAACAGTGACATGATGAGCTTTCAGAAACACTTACTTTTGGTTCGATTGTTTCAGAAACGTGGAAATTGTAGAAGATTTACTACTGTCCAGCTTATGAAACGAGAGATTTTTCGTTGTCTCCTCACAGTTCAAGCAGAAATGGTTAACTTGTAGAAGGTTCACTGCTATCCAATTCATGAAACAGGAGTTTCCTCATTGTCTTCTCACAGCTAGAGCTGCTTTCACTTTCACAAACACAAATATGAATACTCTTAACAATAAATGCAAAAGTGTCTTTGAGTCCAAAGGCTGTCTTCCTCTTCTTTCCCTTCAGTAAGAGCTTTTAACTGCTTTCCTTTTCCCTTAATTCCCATTGTCGTCTTCTCCAGTTTTGCGGCTGAAGTGAACAAATTCGCCACTCTCCTCGCTCATTAAACCTAGATCTAGGCCAAATCTATATCAATTGTACCTTCCTTTTCTCTGCCGAGGAGTAACGTTTTCTGCATGTCATTTGTGTAGCGAGTGTTTCTTCTTAATGAGACAATGGTTGTGTAATAGGTCTCTGAAGTGCATGCTCTAGTGATGTGTCTTCAAACTGTCTTTGAACTCTTTCTATGTACGTTTGGGTGTTGAAGTCGCTGCTGGTGTCTCTAGGGTTAGATCTCTGTGTGGTGAGTTCACTCGTGATATTTCTAGGGATGATTGATCTACTATGGATGTCTGTTGAGTACTTTCATGTGATTGTTCGTCTGCTGCAATTACGTGGGTCGGAGTTTCAACAGATGGAGGCTCTGGTGGGTCTTTTGAGCAAGACGGTGTATGATGTACTTTTCTAATACAACCTTTATTTTGAAGTGTGCAAAGGGAACACACAGGACAAGCATCTACCGGTACTGTTTTATTTGGATCGAAAGGTGTCCAGATGTGTGAACTTTCTTCAATACATGTACGTTTTTGTGCAGCAGCTAGCGTTGCTTCTCAAATTTTCAAGGTGTATATATGCGCTGTAGGCCTACACATTTGTTGCACAGTGTACAGGATGTGTGTCTGCACTATCCCAGTCCACGTTCACATGATAATGATAGAGAACAAATATGTCATTCTTAAAATTTACACAAAAATATAATTTGCTCTAGTTTGACTTTTGGCCCCACACGTTCTACACAATTTTTTTTAACACTCAAGGTGTAGTTCCCGCGTGTGTTCCATTTTCACTCTGGTAGCAGACTCTTATAACACTTGTCGACACAGAATCCCAGAAAGTGAAAGCGGGACCTCCGATGAATGCCGTACGGGCAGCGTGGCGGCCGGGAAAATATTACGGGGTGAAGCAACAAAACTGGCCGTCCTGCTAAAGTTTTTCAACCAATCAAAACAATTTTTTTCACAAATAACCTCCTTACTGGCTCTTAATACAGCAGATAAAAAACTGGTTACAATCTGTAGTTCAGGAATGGGAGAAAAAAAATCCTGATTTTGGAGGATTCCGAATAATACTTGCACCACAAGGTAGGGTTAAGTACAGAGCACAGAATTCTACACTTAAGTGTAGAATTCTGTGGTACAGAGGCAGTGTGTGTACAGGATTAGAACTAGAACCAAACTAAAGGATGCGGGTTATTTCGGAGAATCTGAGCTTTCATTTGATACCTCACACACCCATAGTGATAGATAAGACGGGACATTTACAGGGGTCTAAATCAAGTGAAAATTACAGACTTTCTAACCGAAATCGGTTAACAGCGCTATTGCCCTGGAAGTGATGCGCGGCCCGACTGTCAGGTGGGATTTATGACCCCGGGAGGTAAGCGGACGGGTTTTAGTGCTCCGCAAGGATAGTAGAACTGAACAGCCGTGTGATGCTCAGGCATATTATGCACACATCCACTTTACCAGTTCTACAGTAGGCCTTCCGGTACAATATTTTTTTTATAGACAGCACAAGCAACAAGACCGAGGAAAAGATGGCTTCCAACAAAGACAGAAGGAAATGCTTCTTACTCAAATTAAAGGCTGAGATAATCAACGAAATTGACGAGAAAAGGAAGACTAATCTATCAAAAGCGCAAATTTTATTGATATCATCTGATATGGAAGGGAGGTAATCATGTGGATTTCAGAATTTTTTCAGTAATTTTCCTTCACATTCCTATAGCGGAAACTTGCCTACTGCGGGATTTTTCTTCTGGAACCAAAAGTCCCAGTGTAGCCATGTTCTACCAGGGCTGCCCATTAGGCACAGATGTGCGTATATTACGCTTTAAACCCTTTCAGTTTTGGTGGTGCGTGAGCGTTACTCTTTAAAATTTTGTCTGGCAAACCTCTTTTTACCCCTTCTCTATCCCCAAGCAGAGTCAATGATTTGACAACACACTCACACATATGATACACGGCAGTCACCTTTTGTCTGTATCAGAAATACAGCACTCAGTAGTTCACTGACCACAAATACTGTAAAAAAACAAACTGATCATTTGGCATGAAAGCATGCATGAGCAGGCATTTTCATTTGGTGAAAAGGAAGTGATCCAGGAGGCTTGTGAGATTTTCACGAGGGGGAAAAAATCGAAATTCTGGAAAGACTGGAATGTGAACCCTGAGATGGCTCTGAAGAATAATGAATCAGTTTATTTTTTGTGTGTATTACAGTCAGAATTGACCCCTTATGGTTTGCCAACTTTATTTTACTTTTGATTTGCCCAACCACCACCCCACCCCCCCTTTCCAAGTGGACACTACTCTAATTCTAGTCAATATTACTCATTTATTTCTTGTTGTTACAATGAAACCTTACAGTTAATCAAAAATCGTTAGCATTCAATCATAGTCATGGTCACTCTGTGTGTGTGTGAATGTGCGTGTGAGTTAAATGTTTACAGGCAAATTTCTTACCATCAAATTAGGAGATTAAAGTTTCTAAAACAAGAGTTTTAATACCCGTTAAGATAGAAATCCAAGGGATGAAAGAACCTCTTAATTGGCCTGAAAAGGTGAACCCTGTTCTACTGTAGTGATGAGAGCTGCAAAAGAACATGACAGGTTCTAGATTCATAGCACAAGATATGATATATGATGATATTACAGTGAATGTGATATTTCGTGATACATAAATTTAAAATAATGGCTTACCCTTTCTGAATTATAGTTGTATAGCAAAATCATTTCAAAGTAAGTGTGTTGGATCTTCCCCTCAGAGCTTGGTGCTGAGTCAACTAAATGGTCCAGAGTTGGCCATGCCCATCTGGAAGGAGCAAGTTCTGCAAAACTATGAAAAGCTGAAGACAAATGTAATCCGAAACATGGCAATTATTCTCTAAGTCTGCTGTGCCTGCTGTGGCTTTGTAAAATGAAAAATGGAAAAATCTACATGTATATTTGTGGCACTATCAGTTCTTTCTTTATTTGTTTGTAGTTTAGGATATGATGTGAAAGCTCAGTTAGAGAAGTACACACCAAATTACACAATATACCACAACATTTCTCAAATAAATTCAGATCTCTCTCTATTGGAAAAACTTCACAAAGATTACATCACTTTAAGTCATAGTTTTAAGTCCAGGAAAGGAATGTCACAGATATTTGCCAAAATCTCAAATTCATCTCAGGATGCATCCCAGAGCACAAGCAAGACAAAAATTCTTTTGGTCTTTGGGGAGCATGCCAGAGAATTTTTCCCCGTTGAAAGCATGTTTTATTTCTTGAAAAATCTAACTGGCGGTTTACCTGGAAGTGTGAGGGACAATCCAGGCCAAAAGTTTTCTAAATGGGTTTTGGATAACTTTGATATCCACATAATTTGCTTAGCAAACCCTGATGGAAGAGATTATGTAGAAAAGTCCAACAATTATTGCTGGAGGGGAACAAGTTTAGGGGTGGACATTAACAGAAATTTTGATTGGAATTATGGAGGCAAAGGCAGTTCAAATGACCCCTCTGATGGAGAGTACAGAGGAACTCATGTTTTTTCTGGTGAGTTGTTTATTTGTTGTTTTTTTAATACCCAACATATTATGTGTTTGTTTGGTTTTGTTAGGAGTTTGGTGGGGGTTTTTAAAGACTCGCTTGAGTCTTTATAGAGCAGTGGATAAGGTGGAAGATATATTATATTCATGGAATACTTTTGCTATCTAGTCAATGGTAAAAAATCTTGTGTATTGGATATTATTTTTCCAAGAAACATTTTATGTTTTTGAGATCAAGGCAATTCGAAGTTGGCTCAGTCTTGTAGTCAACTGCAGCTCACTAAATGGTGTGGTGAGATAATTTACAAGCAGGAATTTTTTATTTATTTTTTTTGTCTTGTTTTTTTAGCACTCTGTGGTTTTATCATGCACAAGCTGTAAAAAATTTGTTCTGCTTATGCACAAGGAATATGGTGATCAGTGTTGATATAATGTAAACTAAAATAACTTATTATGGAAATTATTGAATAGCTGAGAGATTGATGCTGAAATATTTTATCCCATTTCAATTCGTTTCCCTCTCAGACTATGCACGTCTTATGACAGAATCTCATCATACTCTTTGCATACAGAGTCTCTGTGTTTCTTTTTATTAATGTTTTTACTGGCAAAAAGAAGTGCAATATTTTGATAAAGTTATAAGTAAAAAAGATTATTTTGACATTGTCATCGAATCATTGTATTTTACATTTATTACTATATATTTCAGAACCAGAGACAGCAATATTTAGAAAAGTTACAGAATCAACAAAGTATGATGCCTTTCTGTCCTTCCATTCTGGGATTCGACACATTTATATCCCCTATGCAGGTAGAAAAATCCTTCAATATTTTTTTGGGTTCCTGTTTGTAAAGCTCTGAATGAACTTACTAAGAATGCCAACATTTGAGAAATGTCCTACAGATTCTGCCCTGTATCTTTTCAGTTTATTCTTTTTTCTGTTTGTTCCACTCAGAATCAGCAGAGATTTGTTTGACTTTTTTTCTTTCATTCTGCTTAATAAATATATGGATGTGTGAGGGTGCAGGTTCTTCTTTTTTTTATATTAATTTGCAAGGCTTTAGAAAACTGAAGAGTATCTGTTGTTAAAGTAAGATAAGATAACATGATACTTTATTGTTCCCATGTGAAGTTTTTCTGTGGCTGTACAGGAATTGTAAAAGCACAGATTATATATACATGATCGAGTGTTAATTGTGTGTACATTATTTTAATAAAATTTCAATGTGAAGAAAAAAACAAATCTGACAATAATACAACATAGCACATCAGATGCATCTTTCAAACTGCATGCACCAATTTATTGCAGACCTTAGAAGTTATATAGATATATTTGAATGATATATTTGTGCATTTTTAAAAAATCAACAGCAATACACATTTATTTTTATATCAACACCAGTCTTATCACAGATGGGAGGAAATCTCCTTCTCAAGTTCTCTTATGAAATCTTTTTCGACATTTGTCTCATATCTTCTCAGATTCTAAGTCACGACTTAATCACCGTTCCCCTTCGAATAAGATTGATCTACTTAAACTAGCTTCTAAAATGGCGAAATCATCACAGGCAAGACCTTTCAAATATGGACTTGCCTATGATCTGAATGACTATACCGCTGATGGAACTTCATTTGATTTCATGGCTGGCGTTCGAAAGGTAAGAACAGAAATAACAGATTTCTATTATTATTATAGGAAGTACTGTAATAAATTTCTTGGATTGTTTCTTCCACTTATCTCATTTTAATTCACCCTGACCCAAATGTAGTGAATGATCAGCTAAGTTTCAGCTTCTTACTTACTCTGTTATTCGAGGGCTGCCAAGTAAACTATGGTAAGTCATGTTTTTCACATTTTCAGGAGAGACAACAACAAAAACGGATTT